AGATCATTCAGCAATACCGACGATTTCAGCCGTCCTCGCTTTCTAGTTTTTCCTGGTTTTCAAGACAACGTTTCAATAACTGCATCATTCGATAACGTGGAAAGTTTTGAAATGCTGAGGGATATCTGAGTACATCTTTTTGTTGTAGAACAGATGCATACAGGAGCTATATACGCTGTCAAAGTGAATGGAGAGTTATCTGAATGTTTCCTTATTAATTGTCGAGTTTGCTAGGAAGATGCGCATCCGCATTTGCAATTTAACTTATTTGTTCTCGACTTTCGTCTTTAAAACTGTGCTGACCATGGCAAAGAGGATGGTCTCATTCTAGAGGGAAAGCGCAGTTCAAGGTATCCGGCTATATGCCTTACTGAGAACAGGAGTATGCTATTGATATTGTTCTGATTTGCAGTATGAGAACAGGCTCTGCATAACAGCTTCCGGATACAACACAGGTGGAACTAGACGCTGAAGCAATTCAAGAGGTTGATCAGTTTAAAAATCACGATTGCATCATCTTCAGCGATCTCACTATCCAGCCAGAGTTACCTCCAACAGCGCTGGATTCTAAGCACTATGAGGGCTGTATGACAGGAAGGAAAAGGCAAGGAATGAGTTTTGTCATCTGGGCAAAAGCGAAATAAGCAGATGTGAAGATAAAGAAAAAGAGGTTGGCCTTGTTAGACGAAGTATTTGAACATATACCATTTACTCCAGCCTGTGAGCTTTTCGTGTGAGAGTCAAAACACGGTTGACATCGATCGAAAGGCCAGCATGAAGCAAGAAGGAATAAAGTAGAGAGACAAATTTGATTTTGAAAAAGAACACATCTTTCTGCGGTTTAGCAGTGAAGGTCATGTAGCTAAACTACCGAAAAGCTGCGGATATAACAGACATCACAAACCGGAGACGTTCTTTTTATGCAAACGGCTCGAAGAGATGATCTGAGCAAACGTAGGTGCTTAATTTAATCCTGAAACCCCATGGATATTAATTGCCATAAATGACTATTACAGGCGACAGCTTAATTAAAGTCATGCTAAACCACAAATAAGGATTACAGTTAAAACAGTAGAGCTTTTTTTCAGCGTACAATATCCTCGTCGCTTCACAGTGTTTAACGTAAAAACGAAAAACATCTTTCGGCATATTATCACCATGCTAACAACAAAACTAAATAGCAAACTTTGTTAGTGCTTCCTTCCCAGCCCAAGCTTTAAAACTTTTTCCACCGGTTCGAATGATGGCAGGAGGCACATGACATGTGCATGATAAATAAAATCATTTATTCGCAATAAAATACAAAGGTTGAGCTGCTTTCAAAATTCACATATTGCAACGATCAGCAATTCCGGCTGAAACGATGCAGAGGCAATTGGGACCTGACCGGCTTCCCCATTCCCTCACATGGCACGCTTCACTGAGGCGAACAAAATAACAAGCTCTCGCCTTCCACAAAGAACCGGAAACATGGGTTGAAGAAATAAGGGAACGTTAGCCTTCCGCATATCGCAAGAGAAAGGCCGCACGTTGCACCGGAAGTACAGCCAGCAGGTCAGTGCGGATTGGATTGGACCCCGAGGATCAACTAAGGATCAGTAGGCGCATAAAAAAAACCAGTCAGCACGGAAACGGACAGCTTATTATGTGGATGTGGAGACTGTGATATTTCGTGTGGGCAGTTGTTGCCATTTGTATGTGCCCTATGTTTGCAATTAAAGCCTTGTGATCAGATCTCACATCTTGTTTGTAAGCAACCTCTAGCCGGTCGCAATACATATGATTAAAAAGTCCTCAACTTTGAAATACAACTTCAAGATTGTTTAATAAACTGCTGCTCTCAGACAAAAGCAATACGTCTTCATACTATTGTGCGACAGAGAGAACAGGCTAAGCAACTATCGATAATGTACGTACCCAAAAAACCGATGAAAAAAGGAAAACATTGATTTGCAAATAAGAACTTTGTATGCTCTTACCACCACAGTTTGTATCAAAAGTTCGCAAAAATTGTCAAACGATTGTCGTGGATAAGACAATGAAATTTGTGGAATTGCTTTAACAGCAGCTGACCGCTAATTGAGATTGATTTGTATCTGAAGATTTTTTGATATCATGGATAATAGATGTGTAGGACTTTTGGCGAACTAACTGTTTAATTAAGTTTCTGCCTGTTAAAACTGAACAACATTAGTTGCCTGCACTCCTGAGCATTGAAAATAACGAATAATTTTCACAAATACCAGATTTCATTGTATTTAGAAGAGATCGACCGGCGAATTGGAGTAGCCAGCGGCATTCTGCGTGAACTAGCCCGACCCATTGTGACTAAAGCCGAGCTCAGTCTGAAAACTAAGCTCTCAATATTCAAGTCGATCTTTATCCCCATGCATACCTACGGTCAATAGTTGTGGACCATCACAGAAAACTTCGAACCCGGGTACAAACTGCTGAAATGGGTTTACTTAGACGAGTCGCTGGCCTTACGCGTCTCGATATGGACCGGGATGGTGACATCCGGAAGAGCCTTGGAATACAGCCTTTGCTTCTCCAGATTGAGAAGTCACAGCTGCGATG